GGGTTTAGGGGTTAGGGTTTAGGTCTCAAATCCAAAATCCTGAAACCTTAACCCCTTCTGCAAGTCCGAAATTCTAAGCACAAGAAAATTGAACAACCTTGGAAGGTTCTAGATCAGAACCGTTGCGTAATGAGGCTTAACTTTTATGTTTTTCAGAACACCGAGTTCCCCGTTGGTTCCTTCATATAACCAATACAGTCAGAACTCATAGCCCCTGAAACCCATTTCTGATCGAGAAGGCTTCTACTCTATGAAGCTGTTCTGACTGCTCTTCCCACCAATATAAAAGCTGAAATAATTACCAATAGCATTTTGGGGGTTCTGTTTTTATAGCTATAGTCGATTATACCCCAACACCTTATTCTAGCTATTACGGCCGCCCACATTCGTCTGCTCCAGTTGGAGCCACCGGGGCCTGCCGAAGCCCGAAGTTGGGGCTACTAAGGTTTAGGGGTTTAGGGTGCAGGGTTTGGGGCTTAGGGGTTTTCGTTTAGGGGTTTAGGGTTTAAGGTTTAGGGTTTATGCTTTTCCTAGGTAGTATTAGGGAGACCCCTGAAAAAGCCCTAAACCCTAAACCTGAAAAGGAGATCTGCTCGAACATGCGAGTGAACGCCGTGGAGGCTTTGGACACTTTGCCGGCCCTCCGGGATCTGAAAGGAACGGAGGAGGCCCACAGTCTTTGGGCCTTTTGGGCCTTTTGCAATGAAGATCTTCCGGTGTTTTGAAGTTCTGGTCTTTACATATTCATATACATACACATAGATAGATAGAGAGAGAGAGATAGATAGTTTGAAAAGAAAGACAGATAGACAAACAGACAGATAGATAGATGGATAGATGGATAGATGGATAGATAGATAGGTTTATGTATATGTATATGTATATGTATATGTACATGTACATGTATATGTATATGTATATGTATATGTATATGTATATATATATATATATACGCATACATGCATTGTTTGTTTCACACGGGGTATATGTCCATTTCTACATTTTGGACGGTTTCAAAGGCTTTATGGGAGTTGTGGCATTCGGGCAGGGTGGCAGGGGCCCAGCAGATGCCTGGCAACTTGGTGGGATTGAGGGTTTATGGTTTAGGGTTTAGGGTTTAGGGTGGCGACCCCTAAACCCTAAACCCTTGGGTCTAGGGTTTGGAGTTTAGAGCTGCGGAGAGTTTGCAAACCCCAAACCCGTATAACGGCGTTATGCAGCCTTTACGGAGCCATGTACACCCGCTGTAGAACCGTGAACCCCAAACGCTGAACCTTACTAAACCCTAAACCCCAAACAACAAAAAGCCCTAAACCTCACAGTTCAGGGTTTAGGACTTTTCCAACCCTGAATCCTGAACAACGGAGTCGTCCTCCCAAATCTCGAAGAGAGGCGCATCCGTCGGCCGACGCACCCCCGGCCGACGCACCTTCCGTCGTCCCCACGCTTTGGGGTCGCGTGGTCTCAGAAGAATGCCCTGACGAAAGGAGAACCGAGAATCTGTAAGGGGGTTTACGGTTTAGGGGTTTACGAAGTTGGGGTTGAGGGGTTTAGGGTTCAGTGGTTTGGGGGTCTTAGGGTTTGGTTTGGGGGTTCTGGGTTTTGGGAGTTTAAGGGTCAAGTGTTTACCCTAAACCCTAAACCCTAAACCCTAAACCCTAAACCCTAAACCCTAAACCTACGGGTTTAGGGTGGGTTTAGGGTGGGGATTTAATTCGATGTTCGGCTGAACTAATTCGCAACCTGTGAGTTCCTTATTTCTAAGGAGGGCCCCTTAAGGGTATATACCTTAAGAACCCAAAACCTACTTTTTTGTAGGGTCCCATATTAGGGTTTATAATAAGAACCTACAAAAAAGTGGGTTTTGGGTTCTTAAGGTATAGGGTATATAGTAGGTATATTAGGGTCCCAGGGGTAAGGGCCCATACTAGGGGCCCATGGGTTCTACCTTAGATTGTTCTAAGAGCCGACACTATAAACATTGAGGATCCTGCTGCTGATGGTAGAAATCCTGCGCCACCTTAAGGACCCTGAACTATGGGAATTAATGGAATATCTTTTATTATGGGTAATGCAGGATTTGTACCCATAAACCCCTAACCCCTAAACCCTAAACCCATAAACCCCTAAACCCTAACCCCAAACCCCTCAACACCTAAACCCCTTAAGTTATTAAGTCCCCGAACCCTCTGGTATAGTCCTGCAGGATTTATATCATCAACCTAAGCAGGCTCTCAAACAAAAGGCACCGTTTAGGGCTTAGGGTTTAGGGTTTAGGGTTGAGGGCGGCCTCTTTCGGTACAGCTGCAACCCCCGAAACTGGCCTGCACATAATATAGGGGCCTGAATAACTATTTTATACTATTTCGGGAGCTTCTTATTATAAGCAGTATAGAGCCCCCCCCCAAAAAAAACCCTACTCAAATTATGAAGGCCCCTATATTTTCCTTGCGTGAAGAGCTGAGAGACGTGAACAGGTTCGTCGGTTTTAGGGTTTGGGGCTTAACGGAGGCTCTTGGGTCTTGGGGTCTAGGGTTTAGGGCTATTATTCAAACATAAGAAAAATGGTTTCGGGTTTAGGGTGGTTTAGGGTTCAGGGGTTTAGGGTTTCGGGTTTTTGGGGTTTAGGGGTTTAGGGGTTTAGGGGTTTAGGGTTTAGTGTTTCGGGTTTAGGATCGACGGTTCCGGGGCAGCTTGGAGCTTGAAGTACTCCTGCAGCCTCGAAAGGCGGTTTAGGG